TCTCTCTTCTCTCCACTCAGTCCTGCAGTGTGCTACCGTCATTGGGTTCTGCTACTGGGCTTCGGAGCTGATCCTGGCACAGCAGCAACAGCACAAGAAGTACCACGGCTCCCAGGTCTATGTCACCTTCGCTGTTAGCTTCTACCTTGTGGCAGGGGGTGGCGGGGGCGGCACTACCCCACTGAAGAGGAGGAGCAGGCCCTGGAGCTGCTGTCAGAGATGGAGGAGAACGAGGCCTACCCAGCTGAGTATGAGGTTATCAACCAGTTCCAGCCACCCCCGGCCTACACGCCGTGACACCGCCCCCACCACTCAGGACTCCCATCCCTGGGGGAGGGAGGGGCACTCACCAGTGCTTCGCTTCCCAGGCATCGCATTCGCCCTCACAACCCCTATGTGGGGAAAGAGACCAATGACCAGTGACTCTGTCACCCCTCCCACTGCCCCCGCTGCTGGGTTCACAGCCATCTCATGACTCAAACACCCACTTCTCTGGCCACGCCTGGGTCGTCAGCTCCAGCTGCCCTCACAGACTCTCACCATGCACCCCCAAAACTCTTCCCCCCTCCCCCCCAGCCTGGAGGCAGGGCAGCATGCCTGGGCGTGTGAAATGCATGTGTTGGGGGGCTTCACACCATGGCATTGTGCTCTCATTCCACCTAAATGGAAGCCATGTGGCTATTGCTGCCAGCATTGAAGTGAATCCTGATACTCTGGCCATGTGCCCCTGAGGAGACGTATCACTCATACTGATGCACACACCTGCAGAGAGGTGTTACAATTCTACCAAGGCATTTGCAGGTGGGCTTCTCCCATCAACCATGTGCTGGTGAATACAAAGGAAGATCCTCTGTGCTGAAGGGTCCAGCCAGCCTGCCACAGCCACATCATCTGCACTCCTGCTCTGACCCTGGCTGTTTTCACAAGTGTCTGCACTTTATACTCTGGGTGTCACAGTTCCTTCAGCCCTGTCTGGGGGGAGTTGGTTAGTGCCAGCCACTGCTTCTCCCCGTCAGACCCTCAATGATCAGCTTCCGAGTGCTGCACCAGAGATGGATGGATAGAAGGAGGCAGGAACTGGCTCTGTCAAAGCAGTGATCCTTTCAGATGTGGAGGGAGCTGTCATGGAAACTCTAAGGGGTCCAACTGCCATGACAACAGCAGATAGCTGTCCATCTCCTTGGGGTCCGAACTGGACCCCTTCCATACAGCAACAGCTGGAGCCTGCTTTGCTAGAAAGCCATGAAGTCGGTGGCTCTAGGCTGGCATCTTGGTCTCCATTTATGCACCTGCTAGCTTGTCTTGAGGCATTCCCCCTCCCTGCCCTTTTATTCTTTTCATCCAGATCCTGTATTTTCTCACATACGATATGTCTTTCTACCCTAAAAGAAGAGCTGCTGGACCAGGAGTGCATGTTATGTGGGAAATTGGGTATGAGCTGTTTCTGCCACTCGAGCAGAGGTAAAATCAGCAGCAGATCCACAGGGAGCAGAGCAATGAGAGGGCCGCGCTCCCTTGTTGCAGCTGCTCTGTGTCTAAAGTGTGTGGCTAATTCCAGGGCATGTTCTGTGCCAGAAAATACAGCAGTTTTCTTTCCTGTGGTTAGTCCCTTAGCTGTCCTGGCCTGGACCTAAAGGCTGAGGGCCATGGCTTTTCAAGGAGCCACCAGGGAGCAGCACCCACTGGGTATCTCTGCTCCCTACCCACCTTGCTGTGAAGGTTCCCTTGTCATCCATACAGTGCCTGTCCTAAGCACCACCAGCATAGGCACAGCTCATACCAGCTCACATGTCATTTGAGGGGCCAGAGAGATTCTGTGGGGTGCTCTATAGCCAGCGGCCAGTCCAGCCTTCCCCTTCTCTTCCACCTCAGTCTCCTGGTCAATCCAACTTGGGCTGTTCAACCTACAGCCCAAGATACATCAGGCAGTGGCTGCCGCGAGCTAGCCATACAGGGCCAAGATGCCTCCACAGAGGCTGCTGTGGCATCCTCCATGCCCAGCTTGGCTGCCAGTGGCCCCTCCCGGTGTGGGCCTGAGACTTGACATTCAGCTATTGTCTCCATAAAGACGGGTCCTCCACCCCTGTACGATTGTCTCTATAAAGATGGGTCCTCCACCACTGTACAATTGATGCTCAGGGCTCACCGCCACCTGGGGAAAATCCAGAGCCTGAGCCTGGATGTTTCCACCTGATGAAGGGACCCGGAGCTGCTCCAGGCATGGCATTGGTCAGCCACACACGTGTCCGCTTCAGCCCCACTCCTTCACACTGGTGACAGACAGCCCCGCTGGCTGCTCCCATCTGTCCCTCCACATTCTTCTGATTGTTTCTTTTCTAGAGAAAATAAAAAGGCTGTAAGTAACCTGGCAGGATTGTCTTGTGTCCACCATGTTAGCATATTCTCTCGCCTACGGTCCACACCATTCCCCAGCCCCACAAAATTGCGGTGCTTGTATTCAATGGAGGCCCTGATTTATTTGCCCGAGAGAGTGCCCCCTGCTTTAATCCCTGCTGCACACCACAACAGCTGTGGTAGCACTGCAGGCAGCTGAGGGAGTCAGTGGCTCATGAATGGGACTTGGGAGTTCATGGCCCATGGTTTGTCACTGCAGTGGGATTAAAGATCACCTCTCTTTCTTTCTTTTTTTTTTAATTGGTCTTGATATTCCACTGCTGAAGTTAACCTGTCTTAGGGGAGGGGGCTGCTGCCTGTTGGGGCTTCTGCTCTCCTCTCCTCTTGCCCAGCTCCAGCTCTTCTCAAGATCAGGGGTCCAGCCATGGAGACTCACCATCAGTGCCAGCTCGGGTTTGAGCAGAGCAGGAAAGGACAGGTGAGTTGGCCAAAAATAAGGCTCCAGCCCTGCCTCATTGCACCCATAACAGCAGGGGAGCATGTTTTCTTAGTGAGGCTTTTCAAAGGTGTGTGTTATACTTTGGGGTGTAGTATATGCAAGAGAATATGGTGTTTAACCCTCACAGCTGGGTGAGAATTGCTGTTTCCTGGCCCTGCTTTCAGCCAAGCTGTTGCTAATGCCCAGCCATGTCTTTGTGCCATGTATGAAGCTGGCTGTTCATCCTGCCCCCCACACCCAGGGAGCCCTGAAATGGGTGTCCAAATACTCCCTCACTGGCACAGACCAGCTGAGTGCAGCCAGCCAAAGCATGTTGAGCTCCTTGTTAGAAAGATGGGATCCCCCATGGCTGGGGGGCAAGCACTGCCCCTGTCACGGTGAGGCAAGGCAGGCTGAGTGCTTACGTTCCCCCTGGAGTCAGGGCCGCAGCTATTTCAATGGAAGGACCTGACTCGCAACCATTGAGAGGTGCAAGCAGTCCATTGTGACCAGTATCTGTACCCTCTGGCCCTGTCCTTTTTTGCAGGGATCATAGAGCCATAGGGACGTGGGGCTGGAAGGGACCTGTCTGAGGCAGGATCAGCCCTGTCCAAACCACCGCAGACACATCCATCATCTAAACTACATAAGAGTGTGATGAACCCTGACAGCACCAGACATCACCCCCTACCCTGCCCCAGGGAAAGCAGGGGGCTGAGGCAGCCAGTGTCCTGATGCTGTGAAAGGTGGTTAATCGATGCTTGAGAGATCCCAGGCAGAGGCCATGCCCCAACTACACAGGAAGGCAAACCCCCCCCAGTCCGTATCAATCTGGCCTGGGGTGGGGGAGGGAGGATTCCTTCCTGACTCCAAATGCAATGTCGGTCTGAGCCTGAGCAGTGGAGCAAGACCCTGTAGCTGGGACCCTCTGGCTTGAGTCCCAGCAGAAGCATTGGTACGGCCTGGTCCCCAGCCCCAGCCTGGGTTGCAGCCCACACACAGTGCCTTTGAGGGAGGCTTAACCTCCCCCCCGCCCCTGACACACGTAGCAAAAAGCTGGGTGGCAACCAGGTATCACCATGCCTAGATCATCCCTGATCAGTGCCCCAACCTCTCCTTGAACTTTTCTAGTGATGGAGAGCCCACACCTCCCCTGAGCATCTATTCCTCTGCCTATTGCTCTACCAGGCAGAGTTTTTCCAGATCTCCAATCTAAACTCACATGAGAGCAGCCCAGTTGCTCCAGTCTGCCCCCCAGCTTGGCTGGTGTCTGACTGGAGCCCACAGCACCAGCTCCAGAGCTATGGGAGGCATCACAGGAGAGATCCCAGCATGGCAGGGGCCTTGGATGGGCCTGAGGGCCCCAGAAGGGAGCTGGGTTTGACCCCCTCCAGGAAAGGGACCCCTCCAGGAAAGGGGCTGCTGTTGCCCTGGTCTCCCTGAGGAATGAATCCCAGCCTGGCAGCATCAGTGAGGCATGTGAATGGAGCTAGGATAGGCCAGGGGGAGCTGGCTCAGGCTCGCTGCTGGGAGGCCCTAGCACTGGCCAAAATCCCCTAGCATGGTTTGGCTGCATAGCAGGGCAGAGGTACCTTGATTTCCCCCATGCCAGCTTCTTCCTCCAGCCCAGCCTCCTAAGAGAGCCTCCCCACTTGCATGTGCCCCCACCCCTGCTGACCAGCCACACTGGCAGTGAGGCAACCAGAGGAGTGCGGTGGCTCTCGGGCTGGGCCTGGCCTGTGGGTGCAGAGTGGATGGTGGGTGTGAATGTGCTCAGCTTTTCCCCATCAACTGGGCCCGGTCTCCGCCTGACCTGCTTGGGCACAGGCTCACACAGGGAGCTCTGAGCTGGTTCCCTGGGGAGGGGAGCAGAGCCCTGGGGGGGAGGCAGGCACCCAGGGTGGGGAGCTCTGGCCAGCACCCTGCTTTCCACTGTCTCCTGCCTCTGCCGTGGAGTTTGGATACCTCATTCCTAAGCTGATCTGGGGTTGGAGGCAGCTCTGCCCTGCAGGGGAAGGTGCTCTGGTGCAAGATCACATGTGGCTGCTGGTGGAGGTCACTGCCACCAGTGGACTTGACACGAAGCCTTCTGGCTTAGGGCCATCACTGATACCTCTCCTGCTGGGTCACTGCATAGCACAGGGATGGCAGGGCTGTGCCAGCCTGGCATATGGGGCTTGTCTCAGGAGTGGCCTGCATGTGCTGGGGTGGGGACTAGGGGCCCGGTCCCTGTAGAGCCACAGGCTTGAAGAGGAAGTCAGGACCGGTAGCCCTGTCCCTTGGGATACACATGCTCCAGCCCCCAGGCTGGGCAGAGGCCAGGGGCTGGTAACACTCTAGGTCGCAGGTGTCGCAGGGTCGGGAGGACAGGTTGAGGGGTCATTTGGCTCCTCTAACTCAGCAACGTGGTGTTAGTCTGGCCGCAGGTCTGTCCTGATGCCAGGCTGCATCACCTGTAGCACCTGGATCTCCTGCCCTGCCCCTTTAGCCAGGACCCATGGCCACCCGGGCACAGGGTGGTGCTGAGCTGCAGAAAGCCTGGTCTGCTCTGAGCTGCAGCAGTGGGACCCCTTTGGAGTCTCTGCCTCAGTCCCTCCCCAGTCTCCTTGCATTTCTAACACAGGGGTGGACAAAATGCTGGGGTGGGCCATTCTATCTGGCCCACAGGGGCCCTAAAAAACATTAGAAAATTAATATTTATCTGCCCCTCGCTGCCTGTCATGCGGCCCTCAATGGCTTGCCAAAACTCAGTAAGTGGCCCTCTGCCCAAAATAATTGCCCACCCCTATGCCTAACAGAAGCTTTTGCTCCCAAGGGCAGAGATATTTTAATAAACATTGCCTCCCTTTTCCATGCACTGAGCCCCTGGCTTCTCCCCACGGCTATAAACCTGGTTGCTGCATTCTCACTGCGTCTGCCTGCGGCTCCTCATTGATGCACCCTGCGTGGCCAACCTCCCCCCAGGCCCCTGCTGCCTTGGACCCCCAGGATCCCATCAGCCATGCAGGTGCGCCCTCCAGCCCAGGAGCTGTCTCTACCCTCTGTCACTGGAGCAGAAGGAGAATGCAGCATTTGTCTGGGTCTGAGTGGAGGGGCAAGATCCTCTAGCCAGGACCCTCCAGCTTTGGTCTCAGCAGGGGCCACTGGCACAGCTTCAGCCTGGGCTGCAGCCAATACCTGGGGAAGCTTCAAACTCCTGATGCAGGTGCTCCCCCTGGCTTCCCTGGGGGCCAAGGCTGCTGGGCTGGGGATTCCTATGTGTCTGCTGTTAACACAGGGCATGGGGGCTGGAGGGGACCCAGCTGCCAGCCTTGCAGGGGAAGGAAGGGGGCAGAACCCATGGGCTCCTGCAGGCCTCTTGTGTGCTGCCATGGCTGATAAATTGTGAGTTCAACAACAACACTCTGGACACTCCTGGGTTGAACTACAGTTATTTATTGTTATAGCTCTCTGGGATCATATCCAGGGTGGATCCTAACAATTGCCCTCAGTCTGTGTATGCAGAACTTATCCTTGCTCTGCCTCTGACCTGACCCTGTCCGGTCCTGTTGTTGTACAAACGGCTAGTTTCGTGCCCCTGGAGGCTTTTCCAATATACCTCAAGGAGAGAGTCACACACACTCAGGCTGGATCCATCTCGTGTTTATTTGTTTGCAAACAGATCGACAAGGGAGTTCAATGCTCAAAGCCGAGTCGACCCCTAGCCACGCCCAAAGTTACATTTTTATACCCCTCACGAACAAGATTCCATTGTGGCAATCTGTGATTTGCTACAGTTTTCTGCAAAGTTTTAGTACATGCCTAGTCCTAAAATGAGCAAGTAACAAGGGTTGCAAAATGTACGTGCAAAGCAGGCAGTAACTAATCTCTGTGTTCTCACAGGAATCAGCCTTATCGCAAGCCGAACATTTGTTCGGACTGTTCTTTATTATGCTACTGATTATCTAGTGCAGGAAGAAAGAAGAGAAAAAGAAACAATTTGCAGTTCTCAGCTGTGAAGCCTTTTGTGTAGCGAGATTACAGTTCTCAGCTGTGAGGTCCTTTGTGTAGTGAGATCATGAGACATTTTTGCCACACTGTGGAGGGAGAGGAACCAAGAATGCCTCTGGCTCCTCATGGCAGAGAAAAATGGAGACCCCAAGGCTGCAAAACTGCCCCAAGCAAAGTGAACTCTGCAGTGCTGAGCATGAGGGCTTTCGCCTTCAAGGGCTAGTACAAGGAAAACACAATAAGACACAATAGCAGCCCTGAGCTGATTCAGAAACCCAGTGAATTGGCAGAAATGTAATTTCCTTGCAACTTCGCTTTAGTACCTGGAGAAGGGCAAGAAGTGAGTATTTATTTGCTTAATTACTTGCTTGACTCACTAATGGTTTAGCTTGGGATTTCACAAACATTAACATTTTACATCTCTATGTTTATAGCAATCTATAGGCACATCGTTGGAGATGAGCAAGTGCTGGGGTCCAGGGCTGACTCAGAAAGAGAGCAAGAGAGAGAGAAGAGAATAATCATTTAGAGAAGGGGGGTT